GATGTTAATGGAAACCTGGATGCTAAAAAGGCTTGCACTGGTGCAATGAAACTTCACAAGAAGTATCTTAAAAAGGTAATTTCTTCATCGAAATGATATTTATAGGTAAGCCTCCTGCAAATGCGGGATCTGTAATCTTGAAAATAAGACAAATTACCTGCTACGGTAGGTAAAAATGACCATTGACGGTGTATGTAACTTAAACTCGTCATTTATTAGTGTTAGTATGTTAGCAATATATGCAAGATTATTTCTGCAAGAAGCTATGACCTTTCAAATACTGATGCTGGTTAAAACAGGCGGCCAACACCAACAGGTAGCTAAGCTGAAAAGACTGGTTGATGATTCATAAATCATGAAGTTCATGTAAGTAACCTTTGTTACTCTCCTCCTTTAACCATGTGGTTATCTTTCGGATCTACGACGAGTTCGGTGGATTCAACTGAATACACTACTTTCGGTTCAAACTATGTATACATGTGCAAAAAAAAAACACTATAAGATGCATTCCTGATTCTAAATCCTGTATTCGCTGGTTGTCTTTCCGAGATTTCTCAATGAACTTAACCATTTTGCTGCAGGCCAAGAAGACTAACAAGTTTTATATTCGGATTTTTCAGCCATGCCAAAGGGACAGTGGCTGCTTATGTATACTGTGCTTGATTTAGCAAGAGAAATGTAAATTGCCATTCTTTCTGGTTCCATACTGAGACTACCATCATGTAAATGTATTGTTTTTTTTTCCAAGTAGCAAATGTGCCCTCAGCGGCTAATGTATACAGAGACACTCTTCCAAAGCTTGTATAATATGAATTTACTGAGTATAGAGCCATATTTATCTTGGTTGTGACTTGTTATTCTTTGGAAAAATGACATTGTATAGCCATTGTAAAAATAATAGCCAAAAAATGTATAAATTTTGTATATCTTTTGTATATATATACACTATGTATGTTATATAAAAAATTATACAAATTTTATACACTTTTTCGGCTATCGATGTAAATAATTTCTGACGCGGGCTAAAAGTGATAATACCCCTTATTCTTTCATGTAAACTGATAGGACAAATATTATGAAAGAAAATAACAGAATTATGATAAATGTAGCAGTAATCATGAAAGTTTTTGTCAACCGGAATGATTTCTTGCACGTAGCAAACATTTGATTGGTAACTAACGCCGTCTCTGACGGATCCACCAATTTTTTTAGGCTAATTGGAGTCTGTCAATGAAATTCAGGAAAACCATCATGTATATAGGACACACGAAAGAATGGACGTATTCACTAATTCATGTTTCATGACCCCGAAACGCCAAAACACGATGTTAGTCATGGCGAGTATTGATCACAAAGTCTTTTTCGATGGACCCATCAAATTTCAAGCCAATCGGAATCTGTCAGTTTTTTTAGCGATAGAATCCAAGTGACCGTGCATAGTTTTCTTATGATCACGAAATGCCAAAAGATAATATTAGTCCTGGTGACTATAGCTCCAAGGGTCGTATCAGATGGATCCATAAATTATTAGGTCAATTGGAGTCCGTCAACTAAATTGAGGAAAATTAACATATATATAAACATATGAAATAATGAAATTAATCATTAATTTCTGTTTCATGACTCCGAAATGCCAAAAATTAATGTTAATCATGGTGAGTATTGCGCATAACATCGTATCCCATGGATCCACAGATTTTTAGGCTAATTGAAATTCGTCAATCATATTCAGGAAAATCATCATGTATATAAACAAACGAAAAATAGAAATAATCATTAATTCCTATTTTATGATCCTGAAACTCTAAAAAAAATTATTTTAGTAGTGGTGAGTATTGCTTACATGGCCGTATCACATGAATCCATCAAATTTTAAGCCAATCTGAGTCCGTCAAAAAAATTTAGGAAAATCAACACGTATATAAGCACACCAGAAATAGAAATAATTATTAATTCTTGTTCCATGTCCCCAAAGCGCAAAAAAATAATGTTAGTCACGGTGAATATTGCTCACAAGGCCGAATCTGACGGATCCACTAATTTTTAGGCCAATCAGAGTCCGTCAACCAAATTCAGGAAAACCATGATGTATATAAACATATGAAAAAATAGAATAAATATTAATTCCTGTTTCAGGACCCTGAAACACCAAAATATAATGTTAGTGATGGTGAGTATTACTTACAAGATTGTATCCCATAGATCCAAGGATTTTTAGGTCAATCGGATTCCGCCAATCAAATTCAGGAAAATCTTTATGTATATAAACACACGAAATTATAAAAATAATGATTAATTCATATTTATGACCCTGAAACGCTAAAAATAGCGTTAGTCATGGTCAGTATTCCTCACAAGGACATATCTATTGGATCCACTAATTTTTTGGCCAATCGGAGTCCTTCAACCAAATTCAGAAAAATAATTATGTATATAAACACACCAAAATAATGAAAATAATCATTAGTTCATGTTTCATGACCCTAAAACGCCAAAAAATAAAGTTAGTCCTCACAAGGTCGTATCTGATGGATCCGCCAATTTTAGGCTAATCAGATTTCGCCAACCAAATACAGGAAAATCATCATGTATATAAACATATGAAAAATAAAAATAATCACTAGTTATTGTTTCATGACACCGAAATGCCAAAAAATAACGGAAGCCATAGTGAGTGTTGCTCACAAGGTCGTATCTGATGAATCCACCAATTTTTAGGCCAATCGGAGTCTGTCAACCAAATTTAGAAAAATAATCATGTATATAATAAACCCACAAAAAATTAGAAAAAATCATACTAAATTCCTGTTTATGGGCCTAAAGCCCAAAAAAGAGGAATGGGCATGGCATCGCAATGACTATCGTTTCATTAGGTCGCTTCTTATGGATCCACAAAATTTTAGGCGAATCGGAGTCTGTCGCCTAAATTCATGATGAAATGGACATTAGCATAAAAAAAATGGAAATCGTCCTAAATTCTTGTTTTATGGCCATAAAACGCCAAGAAATAAGGAATGGTCAAGGTGAAGAATTGACTATTGTTTATTAGGTCGTTTCTGATGACCTCACAAAATTTTAGGCGAATCGGAGCCCGTTACCCGAGTTCATGAAGATGGCGTAGATATTAGCACACAAAATAATTGAAAAATCCTCCAGAATTCCCATTTTATGATCGTAAAACGCCAAAAAATGAGGTACAGTTAAGGCATAACGAGCCCCTCGGGACCACGTTCAAGCATGCCAACAAGTTCCATAACATAATATGAACCAACTCGAGGCCTCAAAATACATATAACAACATCGAAACGACGAATCGCACCTCAATTCAAACTTGATGAACTTTGAACTTTTCAACTTCCATAACTCGTGCCGAAACATAGCAAATCAGCCCGGAATGAACCCAAATTTTGCATACAAGTCTCAAATGACATAACGAAGCTCTTTCAATCCGAATCAAATATCAAAAAGTCCACTCCCGGTTGAACTTTTCAAAAATCTAACTTTTCGTCATTTCAAGCCAAATTCAACTACGGACCTCCAAATCACAATCCAGGCACGCTCCTAAGTCCAAAATCACCCAACGGAGCTAACGGAACCTACAAAATTCCAATCCGTGGTCAAATACTAAAAAGTCAAAACTTGGTTAACTCTTCCAATCTAAAGTTTCAACAATGAAATTCTTCCTTCCAAATCGATTCTGAATAACCTGAAAACCAAAACCGACGATTCACACAAGTCAAAATACATAAAACGATGCTACTCAAGACTTCAAATAGCTGAACAGAATGAAAATGCTCAAAATGACTGGTCAGGTCGTTACACGTGGATTGATGCAGATTGCTCGGACTATGGCACACGAAAATTTTGAAATCAGCCTGAATTCAAGTTTTTTGGCCCTAAAATGCCAAATAACAAGAAACTGTCATGCCGAAGCCATGACTTTTGTTCATTAGATCATTTTTAATGGCCCGCAAAATTTTAGGCGTTTCGAATCCGGTTGACCGGATTTATGAAGATGACGTGGACTATAGCACAAGGAAATTTGAAAATCGACCTGAATTCTAATTTTTTGGCTCTACAATACCAAAAAATGAGGAAAGGTCATGTCGAAGCCATAACTATTGTTCATTAGATCATTTTTAATGGTACCGCAAAATATTAGGCGATTCGTATCCGGTAGCCGGGATTCATGCAGATGGCCTGGGCTATAGCACGCGAAAATTTGAAAATCGGAATTTCAGCCTTTTGACCTTAATAAGCCAAAAAAGGAGGAATGGTTATGCCGAAGCCATGACTATTGTTCATTAAGTCATTTGATGACCCCTAATATCTTTAGGCGATTCAGATCCGGTGGCCCCCGTTCATATAGATAACGTGCACTATAGCACACAAAAATTTGGAAATCATCCTAAATTACAGTTTTTCCCCAAAAAGGGCCAAAAAACGAGGAACAATCATGCTGAAGCCATGACTACTGTTCATTAGGTCATTTTTGATAGTCCGGTAAAACTTTAGGTGATTCGGATCCAGTAGACTGGATTCATGTAGATGGCGTGGACTATAGCGTGTAAAAATTTTGAAATCGGCCCGAATTTAAGTTTTTGTACCTAAAGTGCCAAAAACAAGGAACGGTCATGCTAAAGCCATGACTATTATTTATTACGTAGATCATTTTTTATGGCCCCGCAAAATTTTAGGCTATTCGGATCTGGTAGCCCGGATCATGTAGATGGCGTGGACTATAGCACACGAAAATTTGAAAATCAGCCTGAATTCTAATTTTTTGGATCTCGGGGAATACGTCGATACCAAATAAATATCCTTAAGACGTATCTTTAGCACGTCTCAAGCTGCAAATATGTCTGCTTTTTTAACAATTACTATAATTTTTTTGGAATAAAATTCACTCCTTCGAAAGGTGCTCCATATCAATTACTTTGGGTCGTTTAATAGAAATCATGATAATCAGTCATTTCAAGAAGAGTACTTAAGCAGAAATATGTATTGAAATATATAGTACTCCTTGTATTGATACCACTTAAGAACTAGAATATAATCTAAACCCTATATTCCATTTTTATGTACTTCCTATTGAAGAACATAAAAACTTTTCAACAATATCCAACTCTCACCACCATACTCCACTACACAAGAAAAAAAGGTTCAAATATTCATTTTTGTGGGTAAGTTTAATTATGATACATCAATCAAACAAAGTACATTCATTTTTCTGTCCCAACTTTGTTACAGTCTTCTAAATTGCAAATCTTGCCTAATTTGTCTCTTTTCTTGATCCACTTCTCTTCTTTACACTCCCAACTTCATGTCCATTTGACCTATAAAATCTTGAAACAGAAAACCCTGTAATAAATAAGCACTGGCCAAAAACAACATAATAAAAGTTTAAGTTCAAGTTCAAGGCAGTCCGATGCACTAAACTCCCACTATGCGTGGGTTCAGAGAAGACCGGACCACAAAGGTCTATATTACGCAGCCTCATCCTGCATTTCTGCCAGTGGTTGTTTCCCCGATTTGAACCCTCCACCTCCTAGTCACATGGCAGCAACTTACCAGTTATGCCAATGCTTCCTTTCTTAAGTTATACACACCATATGTAAAGAATGTTTTACACTATAAGGTCAATATCTACAGTTAAGCCTCCTTAAAATGCAGGATTTTCAATCTTGAAAATAATACAGGTACCTGCTGTATCAGATAAAGGTGACCTGATGGTGTAAAAAATTCTTACATCAACGGCGTATATAACTTAAACGCTTAAGTAAAAACCAACAAACATTGTATAATTTTATTTTTTTTAAGAAGAAAATGTGACTATACCAGCTTGTAGGGATAGGAATCAGTGTAATTGATCTGTCAACAGAAGGGTGAGGAGAGCAAGCAAAACTGCAGGCAACAAACCAACTTGAGATTTGAATGCTGCATTTCTTTTAGGAAAATCAGTTGGAAGTGCACATTCTTCACCATTGAAGAATATTTTGGCAGGGAATCCATCTCCTGAAGGAATGTTAATATTTGGTGTATGGTTTTTCAAGAATGAAATCACAGATTGTTGTTTTCCAGGCACTCTTGGATCTTTACCAGGATTAGTTCCATTCACTTCTCCAACTAAATAGTTCAATCCAGGCAAACCTTGCATGAAAATCGTGTCGTTTCGTTGAGGTAACTTAGTACCATTGAATGAGTAAACATTTTCATATCCTTCAGCAATGTTTTTCTTCATCTGAATGGCTGTAAACCAGTCCTCAAACGCGTCGTTTCCCCAGTTAAAGAGAGTTACTCGAGCTGTCCATCCGCTTTTGTAATCACTATCAACATGCCAATTTATGCTCACCCCACAATTATCAGGACAAGGGAGTTTCTTAGGAAATGGACCAAAATGTTTGATTGCGTTCCAAGCTTCCGCCATTTCTTCCCTGTCTTCGAAAGGGACAAGAAGTGCTTGTGGAGGGAGAAGTAACGGCTTTCTATTCGCGTCACATTTAGACGTCTGTTGACAGCCACAAGCACAAGTGTTGCAGGGGATAACAGAATCAGCATAATATGCTGAGAATGAAACACAGCATTTGTTTTCTTTTGGCTTTGGACGTGTAATGTTGCAAGTAATTTGCCAACTAGCCACAGCAGTAGAAGTCATGCCCGTTCCACTCGGATCGGGGAATCCTGTTGGATCTACTCTAACAGGAGGGCCACATTTATAGGACGGATTAACGGTACCTTCAATTTTCCAATTCTGAGGCGGATACAGGGCGGTTCTGTTCATATCAGGAGGAAGTTTAAAGACTTCAAGCTGAAAAATGGATCTTGCCTTAGTCTCATTCATAGTAGGTGGCAAAAGTGTGCCATTTCTGCAACAATAAGGTATCTTGCCAAGTTTGTCATCATTTTCCTTTTCGGGTGGCAAATCCGAGATGAGTGGCTTCTTTTGACAATTCAGGACAGTAGTGAAGTCGAAATCCTTGTAATATTGTCCCTGAGGCCCGTAAATGCATTCAGAAGGATCTTTTTTATGAGTGTAGGCACCTTTCATGCTATAAATGAACTCGTTTCGCATCCATTCCCAAGTTAAGTTCCAATGATCAAGACGACCTAAGGGGCTGAGGTTGTCGATGGTAACCTGTGCTTGGTACTTGTTCTCATACGCGGATAGAACGTCGTATGTGAACGAGAGGTCTCCATATCGGCGAGGCATGAACTTGAGGGTAGTATTCTTGGGCTTGAATTTGGGGTCCCTCTTGCAGCAAGCATGCATATAAGTTTCTGCA